ATATCTTTCATTTTTATACTTATAAAAAAGTATTTGTTCATTTCTTGATATACAGAAGAGAAGAAATTAGTTTGTTTTGAGTTTTTGATATACAGAAGGTATAGCTCTGGTTCATTGAATTGTGATTTTCATTTTGAATTTTCTTTGACATCAATGTTCATGTATATACACAACAGTTTATACAAATAAAAATTTCTGATGGTTTTATTTGTTTATTTTGTTTCTCATAATCTTTTCAAGATGAGCTCAGAAAGAACAACATCGCAATGTTTCTTCCGGCAAAATAAATATTTCAGGATGTTGTTTCCAAAGAGCTCAAATCTGTCATATGCATTATGGAACAACTTTGAGTCATCATTAACCGAGAGATTGAAGAAACTCATACCTTAAAACAAAGATGAGATTCTCACCTTACCTTGGATGATTTTTGCGATGGAATTACCCTATGATACACATAATGACATAAACATCCTCATCACTGATCTCAAGCTTCATGATATGACTGATTGGTCTCATGTTTACCTGGATATAACCGTTAAATTTATGGATCTTTGTAACGCTATAAGCTCCTTGCTTGGTTGCATCGACCATTGTATTTTACGCTTTAAGGTCCTTTGGAATAAACTAGAAATGAAATCTGAGGAGGAACAATGCAATGAGATTTGTTCTACACTTAATAGTTGTAGGAAAGATATTACGGCAGAAATCCGGAAATACCGCACAGTTCTTGGGAGATATGTTGAATCATTAAACTCTAATTACAAAGTCAAGAACTTTAAGAAAGAAAAGGTTTTAATGAAGGCGTTTTACGCAGCTAATGTTCTTACGGCTTATATTTGCAGTGTGTTTGTAACAGCTTTGTCGAATTCAGACAAAGATGTTTCCCCAATAAATGTCTCAAAGTAGTCATTGTGGGAAAAAGATTTCTTGAATTTGCAGACTATTGTAAACGTCAAAATAAAAGATTTAGTCTCCTCTGATGGAACAACAACGGTACTCAAAGAGTTGGAACGTGTTGCTGTCAAAGTGACGAAGAAGATATGTCGTACAATTCAAGAAGGTGATGATGTCCTTGTTAAAGAGTCGGTCGAGGAATCTAATGGGGAAGGGAAAGAAGAAATCGAGAAATTGGATCATGAGCTAGATGAACTATCAAGGAAATTCGCAACTTGTTTAGTATAACCTTAAAAGGACGTGACACCATTTGTGAAGGTTTGTTGAGTAAATTCACTCATGCATGAACCTCACATATATAATTATAATCTCCATTTTGTTATCTATATAGAATGCCATAAATAACATGTAAATGTCTATTAGAACTATTTTTCTTTTCATCTTCAATTAAGCATATATCTAATAATCAAATGAAGCATGTTCTTCGTCACTTTTTTTTTCTTTTCTTTTTTTTCCTTTTTTTCTTTTTTTTTTTTTCCTTTTTCCCTTTTTTTGTTTTTTTGTTTTTGTTTTTTATGTTTCTTTTTGAACAAGTAATCCAATCTAGAAATACATATAATAAAAGAAATTTTGAAAAAAAAATTGTAGTATTGTGTTCATCATTTTTAAAAATAAATATATCATATGGAATTAAGATTGCAAAATTCTTAGTCTTACGTGATAGCCATGTAAAAAAACAAAATCGTTAAGCGTTATTCGAGCACTCAAGTTGGATTGAACGTCTAGGTAGAAAATCATATTTATAATTAGAGACTATATTTTTCAAACTATACATTATTCCAAGCAAATTATTTATTATTTTATTTTAATCAAATAAATGGTATAGTATATATGATGTACAAATAAAGATAATTATAAAATTTAGAATAAGGAGAATTGTTGATTTTGTTAGTGATTTACAAAATTCTTATTGCATGCAATTTAATTTTTATTGTATTTAATCAAATAGTATAGCATATAAAAATAAAAAAAAATTTGTTAGATATGATGTAAAAATAAAATTAATTATAAATTTTAGAATAAGGAGAATCTTAATTTTGTTAATGATTTAACAAATTCTATGAAACCCCGCGATTAAGAAAATCAAGTCATAATAGAAATAAAATAAAGCTGTGGATTGAAAAACACACATTATTGAAAAAAATACAAATGAAACAAAGCAACAAACATATAACACAAAACATTCCTTATCCACCAATTTGGTTGATGGGATCTAGTACTTTAGATAGGCAACTAGCAGAGCAAACGTATGTATCCGAGGTCCCAAGCCTCTTCAACATGATAGGGTACATACAATGCGACTTACACGAGCTGCAAAAAGGACGAGATACACCATTATTGAGCATTACCTTAAACGATTTGCTTAAAACGTCTATTGTGCTTGCTGGCATGATCCCTGAAAAGTCTTCGATCTCACAATCTATGTGAAAACTATCGTGCTGATCTTTACATGTGTAGAACCATGTCTTTATATCGGTTTCTCTATTGCAAATTTCACACCAGTGTTTACCATTTGTGTCTTTGCCATAGCATAATGAGAGAGGATAGTCATCAATGCTATGCATTACCACTTGTGGTAAAGTGGCGCATTTGAAATCCAAGAAAAATCCACATCCATCTTCAATGCATGTTAGCAGATGAGATGCCAACTCTTTGCAACCATTGCATTCTCTTTCTTCAACTTGTGGAATGTAATATAATGGATGATGGAGATGACTTGGATGGATAAATGGCTCAGCAATTGTTCCGCAGATTACATCAAATACCTTATCCTCACGCTGGTACCTGAAACCATTGGACATTCTTTGACAAGCATAACACTCGTAAATATCGTCCTCGCTAGTAACTAAGCTCAGACGTTTGTTGTACAACACATGCCATATCTTTCTAGGAAATTCAGCACAGGTTTTGTGGAGAATGAAGTCACATTCCATACAACCAAAGAAGGATTGGAGATCGATGGGATGGGTGCATGCTCTGCAACGCTTGAACTCCTCCCAGAAAAAACCATTACGGTGAAGTCTTAGGTAATGCTCTTTATGGCTGAAATATTGTAGTGTGTTATCATCTATTATCTTATATGGCTCTACAACTTCTGGATCTCCAGGTACTCCTTTGAGTTCTTTTCCGTCCAACACATGTTTTCTAGTAGCACATTTAGAATGAACGACATAATCATGACACCGCTGACAAGAATAACCCCCATAAGTCCAATTCATCTTCTGCCAACACACTCCACATATAGCATCCAAAACACCAAGTACAGAAGTTCGAGACATACGGTGATCATGGCTATTAATGTTTATGAGACGTGGAAGGTAAAGACAGCCTTGGTGGATTATGAAACCACATTGAACACAAATGTAAGGGCTTCGATCTCCCTTCAACCCACAAGCATTTCATGTAAACGAGTCAAGTCTTGGGAGAAGAGTTAGTTGGTGATCATGAGCTTTCAATTCCAGCAAAGACTGTCGCGGAGGGTTTAAAACGCAATGCATATCCAATGTGAAGTTACACAAATAACAATGATAAAACAATTCATCAATCTCTCTTCCGCAAAGACGACACTTTCCATCAGAATAGTCTGGTGGTTGACCTATGTTGAGCTTAAGAGGGTGTACAGGGTGAGAAAAGTGGTTTACCCTCTGACAGGTGTGTTGCCTCTTCTGGGTTCCATACGCAATCCACATGGAAAGATAAATCACATTCATGACATTTGTACGAAAACCCATCACCACTCTTCCCACATTTAGCATCACAATCAAACTCAATCCGCTCCTTAAAAAGGGTCAGCTTGTGATGATGCGTCTCGGAAATGTCAATAACCTCTGGTGGTGGGTTCTTGGCACAGTAAAGATCCACATCAAAGTCGCAGATCTTGCAATGATAACATATATTCACACTTATCCTCTTACCACATAAATCACAATAATGACTACCTGGTTTTATCTTGTTACCACCTACAAGCTTGAGGGTGTGAATGGAGTGACATGGATGTTCGATAAACTCAGAGCACTCGTCGCCACATCTCTTGTGAACGAACACATCGCAGCTTTTGCAATAGTAGCCATCACTTATAGCTTCCAAGCGTCCACAACAATCACCTTTCCTTAGATCATTCCAAGGCATCATAAGATGCTCGTGGATCAACGGTAGTGATACTTCTTTAGAATCCATACTACAAGATTCTGAAGAAGAAAAATATTGTTTGGATCTAAAACTTTAAAGATGTGTTCTGCTCTGCTCCTTTCTCAAAAGTCTTCGTTGACATAACAGACTTTTGTTGGTCTTTCTTTAACAATAAAAAATATTACTACAACTAGTAGGTGGTTACTTTAACCTTTTTTTTTCCAATGAATCAATTCATTAATGAAAAAAAGAGAGTCATAAAATGATACAAGGAAATAGACATAACCAAAATTCAGAAATCATAAACTTAGTCAAACCCTCTACGATCCTTCTCAACTCGATCATGCAACCAAGAAGGACCTCCAAGTGCCAAATATGAATTGAACCGCCCATCCTTTGTCACACTACAAGCAATCTCCCTGGCTAACGAATTAGCTTTCGGTGAAGAGATTTTAAAAGACACCTCCCTTATCACCCATATTATACCTGAAAAATCTTATCTAATTGCGATCGATACTTCGGCCAAGCTAAAGGAGCAGATAACGCGTCAACTGCAGCATGACAATCAAGCCAAATCTCACACGAATCCTGATGGAGATCATGAAGACTCATAAGACACCAGTAAAGACAATGAAGCTCAGCTGCAATCCGGTTAATCCGAGGAAGAAAGGCGTCTCTTGCATGATACAAGATATCTCCTTCATGATTCCTTAATAGCCAAGCTCCACCACAGAAATACTCCGCATTAATCCAAGAAGAATGAATATTACATTTCAACTTCCCCAAGGGTGGTTTACTCCAACATTTCTCACTAGGACTAAGCCGATGTGAAAGACGAGAACCCGAAACTAACACTGTTCGGTTTTGTTGTTCAAACCACTCCTCTGCATCCTCCATAGCTTTAACAATCAGAACATGAGCATCTTGACTTCGACCTGCAAACACCAAATCATTCCTCGCTTTCCAAATCTCCCATAATAGCCACGGAATTGCTACTCTAGACTTCACAGGGATCATGTTTATTCATGAGTTCACAACAAGAAGCAATATTTCCCACAGTGGATGAAGAGAACCCAAGAGTCGAGATATTAAGAGGATAAACAGTCCAGACCTGAGACGCTAAATTACAACCAAACAACACATGTGAGACTGTTTCTTCTTCAATTCGACACACTTGACAAAGAGGATACTTTAACCGTTTAACGAAACCATTTAATTATTGTATTTTAAAAACGTACATATTTTTTTTAGTATCTGTTCTTATCAGTTTTAAAAACGTACATTGATGAGGGAAAATTTAACTAGAATATTATATGGCAACTCGATTTATAGAAATAATTTTAATTAGTTTTTATACAGTTTTAGAACTTTGATAATTCATGATATTTTATATGAAACCAATAGAGATGCAAAGAATTATATCTATATCAATTTATAATGTTGCTTTTATATAAGATAAACTGAATAAAAGCAATAAAAAACTAATAAAATAAACGTTATGAAGAAAAGAAAAAAAAACCTCCCACGAGTAACAACTAGTAACAAAAAGGAGAACAAGAAACATAAGAGTTTTCAAAAGAATCTCAAGTTGAGTTTCTCTTCAATGATCTATGATGAACATGTTAAGTCACCAAAGTTGATGTCCCCTCATTCACCATTGCTCTGAGTTTAAAATTGGTTCTATATATGATTATACTCAAATAGATTGTGTCTAGCTATATCTATAGAAGAAAGTATATCTAACTAACTATGTTTATATATCAAAAGTAAACTAGATTTGTTTGCTTATTGTTTTTATCAAAAGTTACAATAGAAAGTAAACAAAAATAGAATTTGGAATCGAGAAATACTAAAAACTTCTAGTACTATCATTGGATAAAATTACAAATATATTTTAAAAAGATGTCAAAATCTAATGATAAAATTTTTGATTAGTTTTTCCTCTGATTTTTGTTTAATACTAGACATAAAGATTGTGGCACTTGGCAATCACTGAAATATAAAGATAATCATTTAATTTATAAATTAATTTTAATTTCCTTTTTCTTACAAATGTTGTGTTAACTTAAATTTAACCATTTATCAAGTATAGATATATTATCCTTGTTTCATAAGTAATATACCTTATCTCTAGAACTTGTTTTTAAATAATATCTACTTTGAATTATACATTTTAATTCAAATTCAGAATTATCTGTCTATTTCATTAAAAAAATTATCTTTTTTTTTTCAATTAGTGATTTTCTTCCTGAACTATATATGCATATAATAATGACTAAATTAATGATAAGATAACATTAAAAAATATCTCTTATTTAAAATTTATTAACATATCATGGAATACTTATATATATATATATATATATATATATATATATATATATATATATATATATATATATAAATCTTTCATTTTTATACTTATAAAAAAGTATTTGTTCATTTCTTGATATACAGAAGAGAAGAAATTAGTTTGTTTTGAGTTTTTGATATACAGAAGGTATAGCTCTGGTTCATTGAATTGTGATTTTCATTTTGAATTTTCTTTGACATCAATGTTCATGTATATACACAACAGTTTATACAAATAAATATTTCCTAGGTTCTATTTTTTAAAAACATTTCGTTTATATTATTGATTATAAAAATTTTGTATGTCCTAAAATTAATCCGGCAAAATAAATATTTCAGGATGTTGTTTCCAAAGAGCTCAAATCTGTCATATGCATTATGGAACAACTTACAAAAATGAATTATAGCATCGTTGAGGAAAGCATTATTAGATAATAAAAAAAATACACAATATTACATTTTTTTTTTTTTGAAAATCATTATATTATGAATTGTATTGAACTTTAGTTATCCATATTTTTAGATAATAATGTGTCTTTTTCAGATGCCTTTTATCCACACATTCTTGTTTTAGCCAATGAAAGAGCACCAAAAATAAATATATTTAAACATAAATTAAAAATTAAACAAATATAACATATTTAAAAACCTAAATCATTAATTAAAAATATTTATTTAGTTAAATATTAATTTAGCCAAATTCTAAGTTTTGTTACGTGTTACTTATAAGAAACATTACATAGCATGCATTAGAAAACATTGTGTTGTAATCTAAAGAGACATACGTACTATGCATTACAAAAATATGAAAACATCTTTAATTATATTACATATCACTGTGAAATAAATAACAAAGAAGGAAATTTTACCAAGGGAACAGATTTTGAACAAAATATTTTGCTGGTAAGAAAATATATTACACAATATGTCGTATATATAGATGGGAGTATAATTACAATCCATTTTCTATAACGACGGATTAAATAATTTTTGTTTTTACAATAAGATTAGGATGATCTTTTACATTTTAGAAAAGATACTTTTCTTATTTATATTTTTTGACATGTGTCAACATCTCATCAATATATCATTATCTTGTTAATGATTAACTTGGAAAACCAAACTTTATATAATAAGATTTGGTTACACTTGTTTGCTTGTTTTCAGTTGAGCGAAATAAATAATTCTTGTCACATATATTGAGTTCTCTGATTATATATATAAGTATATTTTAGTAGCTTATTTGATGTGTTTTGTATACACAATTATTACTGACATGTTCATTATACCAAGATCTATTCAATGGAAATATATAAATCTTCTAGATAAATGGGTTCTCGAATGAGTTGTTCAACCAAAACCTTCAATATCCCAAGAGCATGTAGAGCCGAATACACAATTAAAATATATAGAACAATTTCGTGATGGAAAAGTAAAACTTTCCTTTTTTAGAAATAATCGAGATTGCATATACAAATATCGATGTAAATTGTCCTCGTATTTTCTTCCAGAGACTAGAACTACGTAGAGTCGTAACCCAAAGGAAAGTCATAAGATCTCTAACTCATATTTTAATTGGACATGTAGGTGTTTTTTCTCGTGTGGAACCATAGAAGAAATTTAATCGCTACTAATTAGTTATTTATGTATTAATGACGATTATGTGTTTTTTTTTAGTATGAACAAATATATATTTTTTTAGTATAGAAACATATATATTTGTGTATTTTTCTTTTTGTAATAGATTTAAAACTTTTATATTGTGTATTTTAAAATATTGCAATAAATATAATTTAATATACATATGTCAACATTTTATCGATCTAATTTACACGTGTCATAATCAAACTTCATACAGTATAATAAAATGTGTTACAGTATTTGCTAAGGTACACCAATTTTATGTTAAGAATTTAATTAGGTCGAAAGAATACTATTTACCACAGCTATATATCAACTATGAAAGATAGATTTATATTTGTCTAATCTATAGATAAATCTTAAGAAACATCAGAGCATTAACGAAGAATTTCGGTTAGGTCGAGGACACCACTAGCTCTTATGTACTGCAGCTGTGGTACGTGAGTTTACGACAACGTTTCCGTATACTCTCATTTACACTCCCAAATAAAACCACCGATGATACGTTTCCGTCGTGTAATACAGAGATGCATATTCTATTGATGTGGAACCTCCCACTCCCATGCCTTATGATGAATTTGGTACTGCTTGGTTTTTTTTTCGTTTAAGTAGAATTTTCTTTTTTTTTTTCACATCGAGACAGAAGAACTCTACTATCTACTTGTGATATCACACCTGTGTGAACTAGCTAGGCTGGAATGTATCTCTTTGAAAAAAAGAAACAGAAGACTTATATACTCCATGGAGTTAAATGGCTATGTTTTACATTTTGAAGTTTTTGGAGTGTAACAACGAGACTCAGTTCGTTAACTCTTCCACAGCCAATGAGATATTTCCATCTTGCAACTAATGCGGTTCTTGATCAACGAATTATGGCAATCATTATTGATGGTCTCTTAGGGCATCTTTAATGGCAACCCCTTAGCCTGAAACGCCTTAAATTTTCGTTTAAAGGTATGAGGTTGCCATTAAAGATGGTAATAACAAATCTTAGAGCCATTTCTTAACAAATCTTAGACCATTATTAGTTGTCATGGGACTATCATCTCTTAGCCATGGTTTCTAAGTGAATCAATTCGGTTTAAGTATTGTCATGGGAACAAGGCCGCGACCCGCGTAAATCGCTGAGGTAAAATGTAAGAGGAACTGAAACCGTTATAACTCCAAAATTTTTTCAGTGATATTTCCACTATGGATCTCTTTTTCGATCTATTGGTGTCCAAAAACGAGAGGTTGGAGTAACAAGCAAAACAAAGCGTCTTGTCTCTAAGTGAATGAATCAATTCGGTTTTGGTATTATATAAAGAGAAGCTAACGGCGATTATAAAACAGAGGATTAACAAGATATTTTGTTCAAGACGGATTTGTTTTGCTTCTTGTTTTAGAAAACGACAGATTTTTAATATACCATTTTTGGTGTATATTATTATTGTTCAAGCTATTTAAAAAAAAAGCATTTTATATAATGATAACTTTTAGTTTAAAAGATCAATACAATTTACTTAAAATAATATTTATATTAAAAAAAACTTTGAAGCGTCTAAGTGTTACATTTACAATACGCGAAAACATGTTGAACTTTTACACCAAATTTACGGACCACAAAGGGACTGTATGCTAGGTCCGGTTTATTTTCAAGTATTTAATTTAACACTTAGACACAACAAAATAATTATGAAAAAACATTTTGGTTAACTTAAAATTTAAAACTATTTACTTGAAAAATATTTGGTAAAAAGTAAAAACTTTGATATTTAGTTTTAAATCAAAAACTTGGATATTTAGTTTTAAATCATAGAAATCAGAAGTGAAAAAAAAAACATAAAAACTTTTTTACTTTTTGTATAATTTAAAATCAAAATCATTATCCTTAATTAAAAAAAAAAAGAAGGTAAGAAAAAAACCTGCAAAGCTGTGATGTCTTGAGCATCATGAGGGAGCAACCTGCAAACCTATTTGTTACACATAATACAAAACAAACCCATGAGAGAATCAGAGATGTCATCTTTATGCATAATACCACTCGAATTCAATTCTCAAAACCAAATTAAAAGATGACGACGAGTATCACGAACCTGCTTAATATACCTCTTATAGATTCTCTTTCCCAAGTTGACATATGAGGATAATGAATGTTCTTCTTTTCCGGTTCTTGCTCTCTTCCTCCTCCCAGCTTCTCGAGGACACATTTCATGAGGAGCAACATCGACTAGCTTGTAATCCAAGCAACATCTACAACATATTCGTTGTAGATTACACCCACTCAGGTTTGTGATCGAAGCAATTTGATGGGTGCCAATGAACCAAGAATTTTCAACCATGAGATGAAACACAAGAGAATAATGTTTAAATGAAAACAACAATATAAACTGAATTTTTCTTGACATACTTGATGATAACTTGTCTTTGGCTGTCAAGTGCGTTCTAAGTGACATTATCTCTCCGGAGTAGCTGCTGTCTAACATTGTCTGCAGATTTTATCGCTCTATCTTCATCTGTGAGAATTTACATTGATCAAGTTAGTTATCGTAAATTGCAATTGACAAAAGAGGACGAGAAAGGGAGGATATCACTTACTGTTTTGCTTAAAAGCAAGGTGATCTCCATCAATGTGTCCAAATCTAGCTTTAATTTCATTTTCTGCTTTTTGAGCCTCTATAGGTTGAATAAAGCAGAGTAAGAATTGGTATTTATAAAAAAAAAGGTCCATGGAAGAGGTCAACAGATGCATAAAGGCAACGAGACTAACTGAGAGAGAATAACTGAGAAACTGCAACTAGTATCTGCATCATCACTTACTTAGGATATGCAGAACCGAGACTAAAGAGTACTTCTGAGGATAAGCTAACTCTAATACGTGATTCTAATTGACAATCACTACATACCTAACCAAAGCTAGCAAGAGTCTTTTCAAGAAAACGAAAGTAAAGGGGTGGTACCTGAGAGCATGGCTGAAACCGAGAGAATCTCACTTGAGAAGTTGAATACAGGGAACTCACTGATCATTATCTAACCTGTCTTTGTCAAGTTACCTTCATCATCCACTGCTCCCAAGTAACACATAATTAGCCACAAAAGTACATAAGATTATAAAGAATTGAAGCTAAAGAGAGACAGAGCTTACTTTTATTTTTGGGACAAAGACAGAGATTACTTAAGCGTTCTAGTGTCCTTAAACAACACACAAGACACATACATGGCTGCAACTCTACGAGGCTGCATGTCCTGTGTGCATCCACCAACCAATGTATTAACGAAGTATAGGATTTCTACAGATAAACAGATTTTAGAATTAGCAATTCATTCTCTAAGATACTAAATCATCATGATCTCTAAATAAATCATTCCTACTCTCAATTAGAAATCAAGAAGACGAGGGCTTTTTACAAATACCTCGCTCGATTCCTCTCTTCATTGGTGAAAGCTTCTCCGTAGCAAGACTCAGTATCCAGTGAAAAAACATGTAAGGATAAGCTCTTTTTAAAAAAATATTTACTTAATACAATT